TTCGGGAAAACCAAAGTCGGTTCTATGATGAATTGAATGGCGGAGAGAGAAATGAAGTACGACCTGAAAAGGAAGAAACTATGGCATTTTGGAAGGATATATGGAGCAAACAAACACGGCACAATGAAAACGCAGAATGGCTGCAGGACCTGAAGGAGGAAATTAAAATTGACAGGCAAAATGATGTTGTGATTACCAGGGAAAAGGTAGAAAAGGTTGTTAATAAAATGCCAAATTGGAAATCACCAGGACCTGACTTAGTTCAGGGCTTCTGGTTGAAAAGATTTACTAATCTGCATGGGAGAATTACATTGCAGCTCAACGAGTGCTTGAGGTAAGGAAATGTACCAAAATGGATGACTACAGGAAGAACAGTTTTGATAGTCAAAGATCCACAAAAAGGAAGGGTGCCTAGTAATTATCGTCCAATAACGTGTCTCGCTATGTGCTGGAAATTGTTGACAGGAATATTGGCAGGTGAGATTTATTCTTTTATGGAGGCTAAGAATGTATTACCAGAAGAACAAAAGGGATCGAGGAAAGGATGTAGGGGGTGCTTAGACCAATTGTATATTGACAAGAAAATCATGAAGGAAGTGAAGCAAAGAAAGAAGAATATTGCAATGGGCTGGCTGGATTATAGAAAAGCTTATGATCTAATCCCACATTCATGGTTGAAGGAATGTTTGAACATGTTTGGAGCTGCAGAGAATGTAAAAAATTTGCTGACCAACAGTATGAAGGAATGGAGCACCATGTTGACATCTTGTGGGGAAGCGATTGGTGAGGTAAAATTTGCCAGAGGAATTTTCCAAGGAGACAGTTTATCACCATTAATGTTTGTGATTGCTATGATACCACTAACGTTAGTACTGCGTAAAATGAAAGCGTCCTATAAGTTCAGTTCAAATGGAGAGCAGATAAATCATTTAATGTTCATGGATGACATCAAACTTTATGCGAAGAATGAAAGTGGACTAGATGCATTGATACAGTCTGTCAGAGTTGTTAGTAATGATATAGGTATGGAATTTGGAGTAGAAAAATGTGCAGTGTTGGTTATGAAGCGAGGGAAAGTAGTCGAGTCTAATGGCATTGACTTACCAAATAAGGAAACCATTAGGTCTATACACGAGGAAAATGGTTATAAATACCTTGGAGTTATGGAAGCTGATCAAGTATTAGGTGAAAAGATGAAAGAAAGTCTAAAGAAAGAATATAAGAGAAGAGTGAAAAAGATACTGAAATCTAAGCTTAATGGAGGCAATATGATAACTGCCATAAACACTTGGGCTGTTTCAATGATGAGATACACGGCACCTTTCGTTGACTGGAGAAAGGATGAGCTGAAAGAAATAGATCGGGGTACTCGTAAAATGATGAATATGTACAGATCACTGCATCCAAGAGATAGTGTAGCAAGACTCTACCTACCCCGTAAAGAAGGAGGACGAGGACTTGTAGAAATTGAGGATTGTGTTCAGCTCGCAATTTTGGGGCTTGAAAACTATGTTCAGGATAGCAAAGAGAGGATATTGTCATCAGTGAGATGCGAGGCAGGAGAAAGAGTGTCAGAGAAAGATTTCAAGAAGCGAAGAAGAGAAGAGAGGCGATCAGAGCTAGAAGAAAAGGCGTTACATGGACAGTTTTTCAGGCAGACAAAAGAAATAAATGACCCAGAGTCATGATGGCTCCGGGACGGGGAATTGAAAAAGGAGACTGAAGGACTGATAATGGCGGCGCAGACCCAGTCATTGCGAACAAATGCAATTAAAGCAAACATCGATAAGACGCAGAGGGACTCGAAATGTAGAATGTGTAATCAGAAAGAGGAAACAATAAGCCACATTGTCAGTGAATGCCCAAAACTGGCACAGAGAGAGTATAAACGTAGACATGACTGTGTAGCGAAAGCCCTCCATTGGGATGTCTGTCGCCTGTATGACATAGATTGTGGAAATAAATGGTACGAACATCAGCCAGATGGAGTGGTAGAAACAACAAATGTAAAGATTCTCTGGGATGTCAATATTCAAACAGACAATGAAATCCAGGCAAGGAGACCTGACATAGTGGTTGTCAATAAGAAAGAAAGGAAGTGTTACATCATTGATGTTGCAGTCCCGGGAGATGTGAGAATAGCTGAAAAAGAGATAGAGAAAATCGAAAAGTATGACGAATTAAAGAGAGAAGTGGAAAGATTATGGAAAGTGAAAGCAAAAGTTATTCCTATTGTCTTGGGAGCCCTTGGAACAGTCACACGAAATTTGAGCAACTACATCAAGGAAATTGGAGTCAAGACGCAGATAAAACTAATACAAAAATCTGTACTTTTAGGAACTGCAAGAGTGTTGAGAAAAGTTCTCGAGATCTAAGATCATGGGTATTGATCCGATTTCAAGAAACATCAAGAACAAGCCAGTTATAACATCAGAACTGTGTACATCAGCATAATAGTAATAATAAATTCGTATTTGCCCTAGTGTCCGAGCTAAAAGCTCAGTTAACATAAAAGGTATGTCTACTAGGCTTGTGTTATCCACCACATACATAATCACTTCATATAAACTGTGAGACACAAGATTTAGAAGTCATTCAATGTGAAAATGTAATATAGAACTTATTGTATCTGATCATACGCAAGGGCCGAGAGAAAATAGATTCACATGAACAACTTCTTAACCCTGTGTCTCCATATATAGTTGGCCATTATCAAATTTGATACCGAGCACCACTGTAATGTGCTCTTTACAATCAACTTATCTACTGACAATGATCTCATAACAGTCCAAACATCCTTTTTGATGCAACCAAGTCAGCCAAAGCAAAGCACTTTCAAATCCACCTCCCAACCTAACGACTGCAGCAGACTGCACAGCGGCTGATACCGTTTCTCTTTGGTGTTCAGTGCTTGCTCAAAATACAGATTGAGCAGACAGTCACCTCTAAGATAATGCATTTACGTGACTGAATGTCAATGATAATGATGTCAGGTTTACGATGCGTAATACGCTGTAATTCATCACCATATTCCGTTATTATTGATTCTGCAAGTTTGTTTGCATGAAACTGGAAACCACTTATACTTCCTAAGATCACCTCAAATATTTTGTCAGCAATTCGATTGTGACGTCGACTATAAAAGTTGTGAAACTCTCTACATCCATTCATCAGATGTGCGACACTTTCCGTGTGCTGATGGCAAAAGGGGCAAGAAGGGTCATTATCACGATTCCATACATGCTTTGTGAAGTTTGTTGGAAGTAGACTCAACCGTGCTTTTATTGCAAACTTCACCAGTAAATCACTTACTTTCCAGTTGTAAAAAATTGAATGGGAGGATTTCAACTGAACATCAGTCATGCAGAGAAAGGGGCCTTGAACTGACAATTGCTTTGCTTTTTGCAAATCTCGATTAACTGTCTGTTTGAATAGCAACTTCTGAAGTGGAGCACCTTCATCAAAAAATTCACCATTAATAATTACTCCAGCCTTTCCTTGCCTGAACTCAATGGAAACATCTAGCTTTCTAGCATATCTCAGAAGATCTGGCCAATCTGATTGACACCCAAATTTGGTACGACTATTCAGGTAGCCGTCTTCACTAATCTCAAACCCAAGGAAGTTCATATCATTATCTGTTGAAGCAACTTTCCGTTTTTCCATATCCAAATTAAGGGATTGACGTGCAATGTTCTTGAACTGTAATTGGGGATGATTCAACATCTTAATGAGAAATGCAACCCTTGTTGACCTATACACATCTGACACACGCTTAACTCCAATCCCTCCGTGCTCGCGTGGTAAGAAGATGATCAGCTGTGTTGTTGTTTCATACAAATCGTATATATTTCGAACTGCCTTCACCAAGGACTTTTCCATGAGTTCCAACTGCTCCTCTGTAAACCTTGTATTGTAAAAATGGTGGAGAATCTTCGCGAGAGCCAAGTTATTTAAAGCACTAGCCTTTAGAGCAAGGGGCAATTTGCAGCTTGTTATTTTTTCCAATAAATCTTTATAACTTTCTATAACTTCATACACTTGCACAGCATCTTCGCCGGAAAGTGAGAGAGACTTTCCAAGATACTTATAGGACTTGTCACGGGGATAAACTTCGATGACATTTCCTTGAATTGACACAGTTGGCTTTTTATCTGCCTTGCCTTTGTACCAGTTATTCCCAGACCTCCTTGCATACATAACTGCACATTTACTGGGTTTCACTTCTAAACCTGCTATCTTCATGGCAACTTGTCCGATATCAAACATCTCATTTATAATCGTTACGTCATAGCTGACAACAACAACATCATCCGCAAAAGCTTGCAATGGACATGGATTAATCCTTCTTTCATCTTCGATACCCTGCCTGATAACAGCCTCTCTTACCATAGGCTTGCATACTCTGTCAATCACCAATATGAATAAAAGTGCACTCAAAGGGTCACCTGTCTTTGTTCCTCTGATTATATTGAACTCTTTACTCAATTCAAACCCACAAATCACAGAAAACGAAGAGTAACGGTATAGATCTTCGACCAAGCAACAATAAATCAAAGGAATGTCAAATTCCCGGAGAGTTTCAAAAATGAAACTATGCTCAATGCTCCCAAACGCATCCGCAAAATCCACAAAAACTGCACAAAACTTTGTACTTAAGTGTCTGAAATCATCCATTGCGGCTTTCAAACTAAAAATCAATTCCTGTCTGTCACGATCGGGCAGGAAGGCACGCTGCCAAAAAGCAATCTCATTGGATATGTGTGGGGTGATTCGTTTACAGATTGCTTTCGAAAACACCTTGTAACAAGTGGGTAAAAGAGATACATCCCTAAGCGTTGACAAATCATTGATACTAAAATTCTTCTTGGGGATTCGCTGAACAATTGACTTTTTCCATGATGTTGGTATTCGCAAATTTACAAGCACAACGTTCAAGATATTCACAAAAACATACCCATTTTCGCTAAACATTTCCTTCATGTCCTCGTAAGTAACCCCATCGGCACCACAACTCTTCCCACTGGGGCAGCCTTTCACAGTAGATTCAATCTCATCATAGCTGAAAAAATGACCATAATTCACAGATGCCAATGCCTCCTCACGATCAAAGAATTGAGGTACAACACCTTCAAAGCCATTAGAATCAGCACATTTGCTCGACTGAGCGTAATAATCCTCATTCCGTTGCACTGAAATTATAGCATTCTCGATGTTAGCTGTGCTAGGAACAGCCAGGATTTTGAGACAGACATTGTCTATGTAAACTTGAGATGACAGAATGGGACCTTTGTCAGCTTATTGCTGACTGCTCCCTCCTAGATTATCCGGACCAATTAACATCTAGGTGTCTGTGAATCACTTAATTAGCCATAATAATAATAATAATAATAATAATAATAATAATAATAATAATTTCTTCTATCATTTTTGTATTCGCTTCGCTTCTCTCACTTCTCTCCAGGAAAGTTACCACAGGTTCTATTTCAGGCTCAGTCACTGGTATCTCATTAATTACAGTCTCCTCTCCAACGCTCCTATCATCTATCACCCCTTCCTCTTCTGTTGTAACTCTTCTTTTTATTTCTTCCAATTCCACATGAGTCAGCCAACCGTTCTTTCTAATCATGCGAGCTTGGTCACATAATCTCTGTTCAGTCAGATTGAAGCTATGTCTCTCTCTCCAAATGTTATGCATTCTGCGTCTATAGCCTCTCACTGGTTTTCCGTCATCGTTTACAGGCTTACTCAAAAAATAGCACTCCATTACTGCTACATTCATACTTTTCGACCATCCAGTTGGTAGTAGTAGGATGACGACCGGGCCCACGCTGCTCCTCCATGGGACACCTGCCGAGCGAGAGACCTTCACCATCAGTTCCAGTCTCCTTTACGCTGTTATCTAAATCACTGTTTTGATTCATCTCACTCATAAAAGAGGTCGTTCTTTGTAGCAAGTTCCCAACTGGTATTTTTTTTGTGACACCATCACTAGGGGGGTTGCCGACCAAGGCTAAAGAGTCCCCCCTACCCATGAGACAGACTAGCCCCCGCCGGATGTCAACCCGGTATTTCATGGTCTCGGGGAGAGCTAACAGGTAGAACACCTTGCCCAAGGGTGACCTGGAGGTAGTTGCGGCAAAGGGTAACCTCATTCTCCCACGTTGAAACTCCACAACCGGGTGCAATTTTACGTCATACCCAGGAAAACATAACTGACACAAACAAACTGATCAGTGCTGTTGCATTGTATGTTGCGAGGAAACTAGGCATAGGGAAACCAAAGGTAGAAAATAAGACAAAAGAACCATGGTGGAAAAGAAGAATAAGCGAATCTATTAATGAACTTAGAAAGCACATTAACATACTTGAGCGCGAAAAGAGAGGTGAAGTATCGAAGAAAGGGAAATACCATGAACTGTCAAAAAAGTATAACATCACGAGAAAACGAATCTCTACTGTAATTGAAGAGTTGAAACAGAGAATGCAAGCCAAGGCTTTCAAACTAAGAAGGTACGAGCAAAGGACGCGACAATACCAAATTAATCGAATGTTTCAATATGACCAAAAGAAGGTATATCAACAACTACAGGGTAAAGACAAAAGAGAGAATACAACACCAGATGCAGATGAAAGTAGAAAATTTTGGTCGAACATATGGGACAACGAAACACAGCACAATAAAAAGGCTAAGTGGTTAGAGGAGTTAAAAAACAACAAACCTAATCTATCACAAAATGACATTGAAATAACAACTAGAATGGTAAATCAGCAAGCCAAGAAGATACCTAACTGAAAAGCTCCTGGCCCTGATGGAGTCCAGGGGTTTTGGATAAAGAAACTTACATCTCTACACGAAAGAATTGCTGCCCAACTCAATGATTTGATAAATGATGAAATAGAAATACCCTCGTGGATGACCACCGGCAGAACTGTGCTATGTCAAAAGGATCCAAAAAATGGCAATGCAGTGGATAACTATAGACCCATATCCTGCTTGCCATTAATGTGGAAGCTGTTGACAGGAATCATCTCTGGAAATGTCTACACGTTCTTGGATGAGAATGAGATGTTACCTGAAGAACAAAAAGACTGTAAAAGAAATAGCAGGGGTACAAAGGATCAGCTTCTGGTAGATAAGACGATTCTTGCTGATTGTAAAAGAAGGCATAAAAACGTAGCCATGGCGTGGGTTGACTATAAGAAAGCCTACGACATGGTTCCCCACAGCTGGATAATAGAATGTCTAAGGCTCTATAGAGTATCAGACAATGTTGTTAACTTTATAGAAAGATCGATGACCAACTGGAAAGTACAACTGACATCATGTGGGGGGGTGGCCGCCCCTCCGGCTCCCCTCGACGCTGCCCGATGCACTAGTCTTCCACCTTAAAGAAAGTTATAATGGAGACATTAAAGTTCGGTAAAAAAAAGTGCCCTTTTTTTTGGAAAAATTTATTGTTTGAGAATTTTTCAAAACTGGACAAGAATATTTTGGGTGGTGGGTCTTGAAGGAAATAAGAACTTAAGTAAATAACGCTAAAATTTAGGGCGTTGTTGGAAGTAGACAGCGCATAGTCGGTACTGGAAATTTATTTTTTTCCTTTCCAGAAAAAAATTTTAGATGGTCATTGAGATTTAAGTTAGAAAAAAAGAAAACACCCTTTTTCACATCCGTGCGGTTTAGAGCTGTCAATGATGATGGGGGGAGGTCGTATGAATGTTTAGTATATATAATCACTTAGACCAAAAGAGCCTTTTCCCTATGGAAGATTAATCTACCTTCAATAAAGTCAAACCTTTGCAAAAGGGATGTGGCTCTGGGAACATCCTGTTTGGTCGAAGTCAAAACCCCATTATCGTTGGTGTGATAGTTTGTTCGTTCGAGCAACAAACCCATGTTGGCTCATCTAGTGAGAAGAGGATCGCATCTCAATGATCTAAGGGTGAATTCACTATGTTATCATTATCTAACGCCTTGCCTTTTTCAGATTTTTTTCGTAGTCATCTCTCTAAGACCTCAGGATTATTGACAAGTTGAATATTGTCTTTATCATCATCCATGTAGGTAGGATTCTTCTCTGTCTGTGTCAGTATATAAAACCGAACAACAGATAAATAAACGATTTGTATTTATTTGTACTTTTTGTATGTTGTTACACATATTTGGTTGATACCGTCAGACATGTCCATAGCGATTAGTTTTTGGGACACTGAAGGAAAGCTATGGCTTATCGACATTGTGTTTCACTGATTATCAGAGTATCAACCTGATTAGCTGCATACATCAAATTTTGCTAAGGCGTGAAGAACGTGCCCACCTAGAACCTTCACGGGTGGCCGATTGCGTGAAGATGACTCGAAGTTTGAATTTTGTAGCTTTCAATGTTTGTCCTGAAAATTTAGATGATATAAAACAGAGGTTCATACTGCTTCAAATGGGCTTTTAGATGTATTCATGAGGAGACTATGAAACTAAAACTTTGAGAAAGATAGAATTCAAAAGAGAATTTTGAGCAGTATGAATTTCACAGGAGATTGAGGTTCTACTCTCGGTATATATACAGCTAAGTAGATATGGAGTCTAAAAATATTGAAAATTCCTTTCAACAATTCCTTAAGCAGTTCAATACTTTTAGAGGGTACCGCAATCACAGCATTTTTCCCTCATGACGGCCCTGTAAGTTTTGCTATTATGTAATGCGGGTTATTTTACTTCTTAGTTTGCTGTATCCTTAAGGACAATCAAATGTTTAGGTAGTTGCAAAAATGCATGGCATCTTATTATATTAATTGTATCATTTTTTTTTTTTTTTTTTTTTTATTTTTTTGATGATAACTGAAAAATTTGGGCAGGTGAAAAATTAGATTAATCACCACAAAAGAAAATAAATTATTAATATTTTTTTCAATCAAAACCTGTCCAAGTATATGGGAGATGGTTGTGCACCTTGCTGCCCCTCAGCTTAAACCCGAACGGAGGCACAAAAATACCCCTTCTCTTTTCCCAAAACTTACAATTATAATAATTTATAAGTAGAAAGATAAAACGTAAGGCTGCAATTAATAGGAAAGAATTAAAGTGTTTTTATTTTTTTTTCTCT